AAAAATTAAAAAAAAATAAAGAGCTGTCAGGAGGGAAAAGGGAGATCATTATAAAGGATTTGGCACAGCGCTGGCACATACTAAGTATTCAGTTAATTCAATGAATCCTTCTGCTCTCCAGGAAATAGATCAATGTTTAAAGAGTACTGTTTCGGGGGCCTGGATGGCTCAGTTGGTTAAGCGGCTGGGTTTTGATTTTGGCTCAAGTCATGATTTTACGGTTCTTGAGATTAAGCCCCCAGCCCGGATCTGTGCTGACAGCACGGAGCCTGCTTGGGATTCTCTCTCCCTCTCTCTCTGTCCCTACCCCGCTTGCACTCTCTGTCTCTCAAAATAAATAAAATAAACTTAAAAAAGATAAAAGGTACTCTTTCAAGTGTTTCACACACAACCTCTTATTTTGTGTTTATTAAAACTCCCAGAGTTAGGGCGACTAGGTGGTTCAATCGGTTGAGCATCCGACTTCGGCTCAGGTCACCATCTCATGGTTGGTGAGTTTGAGCCCTGCATCCAACTCACTGCTGTTAGGCCAGAGCCTGCTTTGGATCCTCTGTCCCCTTCTCTCTGCCCCTCCGCTCCCCTTTCTCTCTCTCAGAAGTAAGTAAACTATTTTTTTAAAAAATTCCCAGAGTTACGGGGTGCCTGGGTGGCTCAGTCGGTTGAGCGTCTGACTTTAGCTCAGGTCATGATCTCACGGTCTGTGAGTTCCAGCCCCGTGTCGGCCTGTTTGGCTCTGTTTGGTCAGTTTGGAACCTGGACCCTTCTTCAGATTCTGTCTCCCTCGCTCTCTGCCCCTCCCCCGCTCACGCTCTGTCTCTCAAAATATGGATAAACATTAAAAAAAACAAAACAAAACAAAAAACTCCCAGAGTTAAACAGAGTGGTTTTTATTTTGAAATTTTTATTTTATTTGCTCCTACTATTGTTTTCCGGGGTCCTAATTAATTTTTAAGATTCATAAAAATTGGAGGTTGAAAAGGCTTTTGAAGTTATCTGGTCCACTACCACAGAGATACCCCTTTTCCATTGACATTTAAAACCAGGAGGTAAATACTATTTCCTGGACTAATCTAGTTTCTGGTGGAATAACAGCAAATACAACAAGAAGAAGCAAGGCCAAGGGACTAAGTAGGGAAAGATGGACATCAGTGGGACGGGTACTGGGAGAGTATGAGGAGCATAGACTAAAGTGTACAGAGAAAAGTGAGAAAAGGAAAGAAGGGATATGGAGGTACAGCAATTTGTCAATTCAGGCACTAACAGGGTTTAAGAGTCAACGTTCTGGGTTCTGGTAATTGTAAGATGCATGATTATAAGATACAGTGCTTAACCTCTCTTGACTCGTGTTCTTTGAAACTCATAGTAGAGATTAAACGAGGTTAGGGAGATGGACGATCTGTATACGAGAAAACTACTCAAGGAAATCGGAAGGGAAAAGAAAGTAACAGATAAAGAGAGGGAGAGGGAAAGGGAGGGGAAGAGAAATGGGCAGTGAAACACGGAGGGGGGCTGGAGAAAGGGGGAATTGCGGACAAGGCAGGTGAGAACTAAGGAAACCACAGTAACGACGCTGCTGTGGTTTCTGCGGTGACTGCTTCCATACAAGGAGCGTTGACAACTTGCCAGGTACCTTGTTAGAGCTTTACTTACATAATATCATGTTATCTTCACATCTCTGCGGGGTTAGTGTTAGTGCCATTTTATCGAAAAGTTATCCGAAGCTTGGGGACGTTTTGTAACTTCCCTAAGGTCTTAAGCTGAGAGGTGGCCGAGAACGGATTCGAATGCAGGTCTGTCTACCTCCAAGGCCAGTGAGGTTAAAATTAATCTCTTAGGATTTCGAAACAGGGTTGGTGGGTCTAAGGAGGATTGTAGTCCCGGTTTTTCCAAGTTTTGACCTTAGTTCCATTTCTGCGGTCAAATCCCCACGCTCCGCGCCCTTTCTCCACTAACAGCGTCCAGTCTCCATGGAGATCGGCGTGGGGCGGGACTTCCTGCCTCACGCGCAAACACTTCCGTCTCGAGCCGGAAGCGCCTTGGCTACGAGACCGAGTCTCCCGCGTGGGTACTTACTGGGTAGTCTGAGTGGCGGGACTGCGGCGACCGTGAGTGTAAGTGGCTGGGACACCTGAGTCCGGCGCGGCCATGCTGACCCCCGCGTTCGACCTCAGCCAGGACCCCGACTTCCTTACCGTCGCCATCCGCGTGCCCTACGCCCGGGTCTCCGAGTTTGACGTCTACTTCGAGGGGGTCGACTTTAAGTTCTACGCCAAGCCGTACTTTCTCAGGCGAGTTCTCTGTGTCCGGCCCTGGAAATAATGTATATAGGGGATTGATTCGTTGATTGATCTTTCATCTCTCAGTTACTCTTGAGATAACTGTTTACCGAGGAAAGAAGAAAGAGCGAGGGATTTAATGATTGCCTTTTCCCGAGATTTCCGCGGCTTCTTTCAGTGCTGAGGAAATGACCTCGTCAGAAGTGCTTTCCACGTGTTGTACAAGCTCATTCCGTTCTTAAACTTTGTTAAATCCCCACCGTAAAAAAGATTTCGAGCCATTATAAGACCTGGCGTTTGGGATCTTGTAACGTCTGCAGTTTCTGTCCTATCGCCCTAGTTCTCGTACCTTTTTACTGTTGTTATCGCCCTGCGTTGGTCCTCCTACCCTATCCCCTGCTCCAGGACGGTGCGCGCTGACTTCCCAACTGACCAGTCCTTTTGACTTTTATCAGTCGACCTTCTGCTTAAGAGTTGTGTTGACGCTTGGCGGGCCGCTCCCTACTTCCTGATATTCTCTCCTTTCTTTGCCTCCTTGACACCAAATTAACCTCGTTCTCCTACCTCCTCCTAACTTGTCTGATTTTGCCTTTAGTTGCGGTTGTCGTGCGTTCGCAGTGAGGGCCCTTCATCACAACCTGTTTGCATTTTTTCCTTACAGAACCATAACAAAAGTAGCAACAGCTCCGTGGGCTCACTTTAACGCATACAGGCGTGTTATGTGTATTTGTGTATATTATCCCATTTGACCTGGGCAGCGAGAGCTCTTTGGAAATAGGCATTGATTGATATTAGCTTCTTTTTACAGAAGACACTGTGGATTTTTCTTCCTAAAACATTGTCAACCCCTTTCCCTTTCCTGCTACATAAAATCCATTCTCCTAATCTTTCTAATTCAAGTGTAGCTGTAGCCTACCTTTTCTGCCCAAGTACTTTCCTAATAAACCTTGCTCTTGAGTCAAGCTGGTTCCTTCACTGGGTGGGAAACCGTTTTGCTCAGATTCACATTAAGCCCTGACTTAACTTGCATATACTGCACTTTCCTATTTCTTTATTCATTTGTTCCTTTGATTTATTTATACCAGGCTGGGTTTTAGGTATTGGAGGTGTAGTGGTGTCTCATAAAGTTTACATTCTAATGGGGAGAGAATAGCAATAAACGAACAAGTAAAGGTATGACTCCAAATTGTGATAAGTACTCTGAAGGGAAGTGCACGGAAAGAAAATAAAGGGGATCCTGTTGAAATGTAAAGTGGCCCCGGGAAAGACTTTGAAGAAGTGATATTTAAGGCAGGACATGAAGAATGGAAAGTAGATGGTGATGGTGGTAGCAAGCATTTAGTGAATTTTCACTTCAGGTTAATACTTTATGTGGATTATCTCATTTGATTTTAGGACAGTCCTACAACATAGTGTCTGTTGTTAACTCATGTCACAGATGAGGTATCAGAGGCTCAGAGAAAAGATGTTAAATGTGATAGGAATGTAAAATTAAATACAATAACAGGAGTTTCAAGGTAAAAACCATTTTGCCTAAGTTTGGGAGTCTTGATGAAGCCCAAATAAGAGGTTATTTGTGAAATACTTTAAAGAGTATTCTTTACACCAGTTCATCCATTCCTTGAGTAGCAGGGACTGGGGAGTTGGGCACACCTGGGTCTCAGCATGCTTAACAGTTCTGGCACTTACAGCAAATTATGCTGTCTCAGTTTCCTAATCTTTACAATGGGACTAATATTAGTGATCGTCCAGAGCTGATGTGAGGATTGATATAATGGATGCATAGTTTTTATTGCCGTGCCCATATGTTCAGTAAACAGTAGATATTTATTATAAGGGCCTATTGTTCTAGTTATCTGTTGTTGCATAACCAATCAAATAGTGTTTTAAAACAACAGTTATCTAACTCTCTTGCCCTGGTTGTACCTCAGGAATTTGGTAAGAGCCTGGCCGAGCTGTTCTGACTTGAGATCTTTAATTCAGTTGTAGTCATATATTGGCTGGACCTGGAACAGTGAGGGCCAAAGCAGGTGGGGACTGGTGGAGTGGCTGGGGCACAGCCTCTCTCTTTGTGTACTCTCAGGACTCCCTGTGTGGTGTGTTTGCATGGTCTAGTTTGATTCCTTTGTGGGGGGCGGGGGGGTGGAGCTGAAAGTTTCAAAAGTCAAGTATTCCAGGGGACAAGGCAGGCTCATATCATTTATGACCTAACCTCAGAAATCACACTGTCATTTCTGTTCCATTTTATTGGCCCCAAGGCCACTCAGTTTAAACAACAACAACAAAAACCTAGTTAATTAATTTTTATTTTAATTCCAGTATATTTAATATACATTGTTATATTAGTTTCAGGTATACAATATAGTGATTGAGCAATTTTGCATGTTACTTAGTGCTCATCATGATAAATGTGATGTTAATCCCTTTCACCTATTTAATTCAGTCCCCCCCCCCCCCCCCCCTTAACCATCAGTTTGTTCTCTTTGGTTAAGAGTCTGTTTTTTGGTTTGTCTCTTTTTTGTTTTCCCTTTGTTTTGTTTGTTAAATTACACATATGAGTGGAATATGGGATTTGTCTTTCTCTGACTTTGCTTAGCATTATACTCTAGATGCATCCATGTTGTTGGACATGGCAAGATTTCATTCTTTTCTATGGCTGCGTAATATTCCATTCTTTTATGGCTGAGCAAATATATATACATATATGTGTGTGTGTTTTATATATATATGTATATACATGTGTATATGTGTATACACGTACACACACACTGCAACTTATTCATTCATTTACCCATGGACATTTGCAAGCTCACTCAGTTTTAGGGGGAGGGGACATAGACCCCACAGTTGGGAGGAGTGATGTGAGATGGGCCATCTTTGAAAATACAGTTGGCTACAGTACAGCAGAGGTGAATAAAACCTCCTCGCTCCTCTGCTTGGGAAACTGAGAGTCTATCAGGGGTGGCAGATCTGTGAACAAACAGGATTTCACTCTTATGCAGTAAGAATTTAACTCTATACTTACAAAGAATTTAGGAGAAGAACATTGGTATTAATAGCTTACATTTTTGGAATGCTTACCTACTTCACAGTAATAACCTCTTCTTGCAGTAACTCTGGGGGAGATCTGTTATTTCTCACTTTTTACAGATGAAGTGTATGAGCTTCGAAGTTGATTAACTTACACAAAAAAAGTTGGAGAGATGGCAAATGGCAGAGCTGGAACTCAGTTCAGATTCTGAAAGTGAAGTTAGTGTTTGTAACCATTAAAACAAGCTAGTTTATCCATAAACGGACTTCTTATGTTGGACTTAGAAAGGATTTTGGTTTGGAAACTGCATTGTAGCTCCAGGAAGCCTTAAGATCAAAGTTAACTAGGTTGTGAAGCCCCGGGCCTTTGGGACCTGCCAAGTTTTGTTATTGTTGTTGTTGTTGTTATTATAATGTTAGAATAGGAAGCATATGAATAGGAGATGTGGGAGGAAAGGAGCCTCACATTTTAAGTTTGGAATGGAATGGAGCTGGTCTCATATGTGGTACTCATGAGTGTAAATTATTGAGTTGATGTCAGGCAGCCATGAAAACTTTTTCACTAGAAAAGTGACACTCTGATTTCTATTTAATTTTTTAAAGTCTGTTTCAGTGTTTATTTATTTTTGAGAGAGAGAGAGAGAGAGAGAGAGCCCAAGTTGGGGAGTGGCAGAGAGAGGGAGACACAGAATCCGTAGCAGGCTCCGGGCTTTGAGCTGTCAACACAGAATCTGATGCGGAGCTTGAACCCACAAACACTGAGATCATGACCTGAGCCGAAGTTGGGCACTTAAACCCACTGAGCCACCCAGGCGCCCCTGATTTCTATTTTAGAAAAATTCTTTTGGGACCTCTGTGGAAGATGCGACTGAACCAGAGTAAAACTGGAAACAGGGAAATCAGTTCATTTCCTTTACAGTGAAAGGGGGAAAATCCCTGTATGGTAATAATGAGAGTTGAGAAAAACTTTCGTTTTTTGCTTTTTTTTTAAAGTATTAATTTGCCCCAAATAAACAATTGGTTTTGTTGTTTCTTTATTGTTTTCCATTTTAAAAATGCTTTTGGGAGGGAGGGGAGCCATTTAGTATACCTTTTTGGAGCCCCTGCTGTATCAGGCACCAGGTATATTAATAACTCCCTTACTCATTAGGTAGACGAAAGTACTGTAGAAATAGTGATGACTAATATTTATTGTGGTTTTTCTTTTTAAGCATCGCTTTTATTGGTGACTAGGGAGTATTCAGGCAGAAAGATGAGGCAGCTGTGATTTCTTTTATCTTAGCTAGGGAAGAAATGTAAGTTATTTAGTTTGCAAGATGTTAAAGAAATGCTGAAGAATTGCCTTTTAAAATGGTTGATAGGTTTCAGTGGTAAACGTACTATCATTGATGGTCACTTATACTCTGTAATTTAAGGACTTGATGTAACCTATTAAATCTGCAGATTAACCCTTCCTGGAAGAGTTGTAGAAAACGGAAGTGAACAGGGATCCTATGATGCGGATAAAGGTATTGCCTTTGGAATTTTGTTACTTTTTTTCTTTGGATTCTTCATGTTAGAATAAGTACATCATAATCTTTCAAGATACTATGGGGACCTTTAGATGTATTGCAAATGCACACTTCATTGTTTCTTAACGCCCCGTGCCTATTCATGGATTTCTTGACAATTACAATTTCCTCAGTCCTGTAAAGTACTTCACAGTACTCTTTAAAGTTACTTAAATACCCTGTTTCTGTTTCCTAGGTGTTTTATTTTCTACTTCTACTTTGAATAAGAGTTTGAAAGTTAGATTATGTGGGGGGTGCCTGGGGGGCTCAGTTGGTTATGCGACTGACTCTTGATTTCAGCTCAGATCATGATCTCGCGGTTGGAGAGTTTGAGCCTCACGCCGGACTCTGTGCTAACAGAGCAGAGCATGCTTGGCATTCTCTTTTTCTCCCTCTCTCTCTGCCCCTCCCCTGCCCAATAATAAATAAACTTTTTTAAAAAGTTAGATTATATGAGAAAAGATGTGGATGATTTTGGAAGCTGCAAATCAAATTTTTCTTGTATACTTTTTAAAGTTAAAACTTAATAACAGGTAAGTGAGAAACTGTTCAAAGGTGGCAATTAAAGGCCGACTGCATTTTCTTCTCATGATTGATAAGCCCTTCAGTTTAGCTATTGTCGAAACCACTTATTTTCCTTTTGTAGATGCCTCTGGATTTTTCTTTATCAGTGAATCTGGAATAAGAATACCTTGTATAGTCTTGTGTAATTTATTAAGTGTAATATATTTCTTGACCTCAGTAAACTAGGGTAAGAGAGGAAGGATGGCATGAAAGTTAAATGACAAAGTTATAACCCATAATACAATGTAATTAATGTGATAATGAAATATGAAAATGCCTTTCTAGGTAGTAAGTGTGCTTTTAATTGCAGGGAAGTTGCATACTGAAACAAATTTATTAAATTTCAAAAGTACCCAGGGATTTAGGAAGCTGCACCTGTGGGTTTGGATTGAGTTGTTTTTGATATATACTTGACTTTCATACAGCGTGGGTTTGAACTGTGCAGATCCACTTATATGCGGATTTTTTTTTGATACGGTATTGTGTTGTAAATGTATTTTCCGTACGATTTTTTTTAACAACATTTTCTTTTCTCTTTAGTGTAAGGGCACAGCATTTAATGCATACAATATACAGAATATGTGTTAATCAACAGTTTATGTTATTGATACGGCTTCTAATCAACAGTAGACTATTCATAGTTAGCTTTTGGGGGAGTCAAAAGTTAAACAGATTTTTGACTGGGTGGGGGTTCACATCCCTAAGCTCCATTTTGTCCAAGGGTCAACTGTATTGAAATATGTTTAAGTGCAATGAAAAAGGTAAAAAATATTTTAAATTCACAGTAGTAAATAATGTAAGAAGTCTATGGGGTAGCCTCGATGAAGTGATAAACCTAGTCAGGGAAAGGAAAGAAGTGCATAGGTAGAATTTGAGTCTGTCTTAGACTTTGGGGATATGTCTCTTGAGATCTCAGATAGCTTTTTAAGCTATAATTGCTTTAAGATTTTGTGAATTTTTGAAATTGCTGCTATTCATTGGATTAGGTATCTTGATTTTTCTTTCCTAGTTCAGAAATAAATCTTATAAGTAGCTATGGGCTAATTCTAAGCTACTGCCTTCTCAGGTCATTGAGTTTTAGAGGTTTTGGCTTGGACTTTTAGTATTACCAGTAGGTTAAGGGGATACTGTGTAAGACTAAAGCATTCTGCAGCTTTAGCAGATTAATTTCTTATACAGGTGACAGCTGAATCAGTGATTCTGAAAAACCCTATTTGAGCCTTTTTCTTTTTTTCCCAAGTTTTTTTTTTTTTTTTAATATTTATTTTATTTTTGAGTGAGAAACAGAGCGGGAGCAGAGGAGGGGCAGAGAGAGAGGGAGACACAGAACCTGAAGTAGGCTCCAGGTTCTGAACTGTCAGCACAGAGCCCAATGTGGGGCTTGAACTCACGAACCGCGAGATCATGACCTGAGCTGAAGTAAGACACTTAACCTACTGAGCCACCCAGGGGCCCAAGCCTTTTTCTATCCTGATTTTTATTCACTATATAACAAGGGCATAATTTTAGAGCCCTATGAAATAGGAATACATATTTCTTGGATGTATTTGTGTGAAGTCTTTGATTTTTTTAATAGAGCTAAGTATAAAACAAATTTATCTTTAAGGAATTTTTACCATTCGATTGCCGAAGGAAACTCCTGGCCAGCATTTTGAGGGACTGAACATGTTAACCGCTCTTCTGGCACCAAGAAAATCCAGGACTGCCAAACCACTTGTGGAAGAAATAGGTATGTTTATTGTAGTTAAGAAATAAAGATAAACAGAAAATTTGGAGTGCTTTGTGTTTCTGGGGGAAGAGGGATATAGCAAATAGGAAATGGGAGAAAATGCCTCAGGTGACAAGATAAGGACATCACATGAAAATAAAACTAGCTCATTTGGTGACATATTATTTCATTTATTATTTATTTATTAAACATTTATTTATCTTTGAGAGAGAGAGAGAGAGAACATGAGTGGGGGACGGGCAGAGAGAGAGAGAGAGAGAGGGAGACACAGAATTCGAAGCAAGCTCCAGGCTTCAAGTTGTCAGCCAGAGCCCAACACAAAGTTCAGACTTGTGAACTGCAAGATCTATCATGACCTTAGCGGAAGTTGGACGCTTTACCAACTGAGTCACCCAGGTGCCCCGGTGACATATAATTTAAAGACAAAAAACACATTACTGACTCAGTGTGTCAGTCACATTTTTGGACCAGTTAAAACAGCATCTCTGTCTTTTGCAAAGTAATGGCCTCTTGAGCTTTGATCAAAAGTTTATAAATTCAATGAGTTACGTAAAATGAATACCGCCTAGGTCAAGAAATGGAATGTTTCCAATACCCTGGAATCCTACCCTGTGCCTCCTCCTGGTCCCTTCTTCCTCCCTCCTCTGCGGTGTTACTGCTACCTTCAGTTTTGCCTGTTTTTGAATTGTGTATATAACTCAGGCAGTATGTGTTCTTTTTTGTATGGCTTCTTTCACTTAATATTCTTGTGAGGTTTTTCCATCTATAGCTGAGGTTTGTTTGCTTTCATTGCATTTACTATTTATACATCTTTATACTCTTGAGGGCCTTCGGATTGGTTCCTTTTTTGGGGGGGAAGCTATGAAAAATAGTGGGGTTGGGGCACCTAAGTGGCTCATTTGGTTAAACATCTGATGATGGCTCAGGTCATGATCTCACGATTCGTGGGTTGGAGCCCCACGTTGGGCTCTGTGCTGACAACTGGGAGCATGGAGCTTGCTTCAGATTCTGTGTCTCCTCCCTCTCTGCTCCTCCCCCGCTTGTTCCTGTGCCCTCTCCCTCTGTCTCTCAAAGTTAGACGTTAAAATTTTACAAATAACGAGGTTATGTATATTCTTTTACATACCTTTCAGTGCATGTGGGCAGGCATTTTTTATACCTTTTCCCCTCCAAGTTGTACCTAGGAAACCCAGTACTTGAATAAATTAATATTTAACACATTCAGGTGCTTCTGAAGTTTCTGAGGGAGGAGTAGAAGCTGAGGATGAAGAGTTTGACTGGGAAATTGAACAGGTCCCCTATGAAGAGGTATCAGAAAGTGCTCTGAATCCACAGTACCACTATGGATTTGGAAATTTACGATCCGGAGTGTTTCAGCGGTTACAGGTACGGTTTCTTTCTAAAAGACCTTGTTGTATAGGGTTTTACCATTTTGATATTTTAATTTCAGTTCTGCTCCTACTTGGAGATCTTTAATGAAGATGATAGGAGGTGATGTATTCAGAGCACAAGTCACAGCTGCTTCTCTGTAGTGATTACACACGTTTGTTCCTTTCCATTGCATTGGTGGTTCTGCCCAGTCACACTGTGCTTACAGATGTCAGATGTCCTGTTACTTTCTTTTTTCTCCACTTCATTCAGTATTCTAGACATGAAGTTTCCAAAACACAAAACGGAACTCCTCTTTCCTCATACTTAACTGCAAATCTTTGTGTTACACTTCTGAAAGATGAAAATGATTATGTGATGTTTTATAAATATAAATGAGAGAGAATGTTCCCGGTGAGAATGAATTTGTGTCTTTTGATCGAATTGTTTAGTTCTTGGTGTACAGTGGGCACTTGTGTCTGTTTACTCTTGGTGGGGGTTGAATGTAATCTCTTGTTAGAACCCAATCGTTTGTCACTTAGGCTAAAAAGGAATGACATCAGTCTCTCTTCCTCAAAAAACATAGGAAATTCCGCTTTATTTTAGTTTATGGGGGGAGAATGAAATGGAGAGGAGAGATTTTGAACTATTTTGTACCTGTGTTGTTTTATAGAAAATGCCTCCCTAGAATGTTATATGATGGAAAGTATTTCTGAACCATTAGCTTGGAGTTTTGTTTCATTTTGTTTTGTTTGAATTTTAAATGAAAGCAATAGTAACAGACAACTTTTTTTTTTTTTTCAATCCCTATCTGGGCAGAGGACATGAAATCTCTTTAGGCTGTAGTTTATTATAGTAAGACATATTTGAATTTACTAAAGAAGGGTTTACCTATGTTTTAGTCCCACTTCTGCTGCTTAGATTTGGGGTGATAGGCCAGTTATTTGATCATAAACAAGTCTTGTCTCCTCTTTATCAAATAGGGATAAATTTACTCATCTACATTGTAATAGAATTTAGAAAACTTAGGAGATGCTGCATTATTAAAACTCTTTGAAAAAGAATAGGATGCTAGAAAGACTTCTGCCTATGAAAAATATAAAATGCTCTCCAGACTCTTTGAAGAGAACAAAATTGGGATTTACTTGAGCAAATAATGCTGATTAGATACTCCCTTCAAAACCCTTATATGCTTTTTTCCCTGAATTACAGTCTCTCCATAGTCTCTCTCCCCAATCACATTTTCTGGTCATCTCTGAGGTAGTTAGAGTCCATTTTGTCTACAGCGCTAACTACAGTGAATGGACCTCACCTGTTTAGCTGAGAGCTACTTTGTGGTCCGTCACTTGGGGTTTACCTGTGTGAAGCTCTAAATGAATGCTAATACAAGTCAAGCAGGCCAAGTACAGATTGTACATTCAGATGGATCATCATTTCTGAGGCGAGGGAACTTGGTTTCTTGCTGCTGCCGTTGAGGGGAGAGCCTTTCAAGGGATTTCTGCCAGGTTGCTGAGAAGATGCTGGAATGCCATAACGTAAGCCTAGGCCAAGTCCTTTAGGTCCCAAGTTCTTGTATCTGTTGGAAATGTTCAATAAGTAATTTAGATTTCTTTTAAAAAATGTTATGAAATATTCTCTGTGTTTTTCTGAATGTCGTAACTAAGGCACCAAATCTCTGGGCACCTATCACCCAGCTTTAAAAATAAATGTCAGCATAGTTAGAGCCCGTGATTACATCATTCTGTTTCCCCTCAGAAATGAAACACTGAATTTGATGTTCATGATTCTCGAGCCTTTAGCTTGATGATCTAAAATCATTAAAATGTTCAGATTTTAACTGAATGAGCATTGCTGTTCTAAGCTGTTTGAATGCATATTTTCTTCGACAGAGGAAAAAAAGAGAGCCATGGATGTGAACAAGCCCTGAGGGTGATGTAACTGGTAACTAGTGGTGCAGGCTTATAACCCATGTCTGTAGTAACGGGGTAACAGAAAGTTCTCAAAGTAAACATTTTTGTGTGTTTAGTTTTGTGACAAAACCTGATCTGAATCGATGTCTTTATTATTATTTTTTTTTAACATTTAGTTTTGAGTGGAGAGGGGGAACAGGAGGGGCAGAAAGAGGGAGACAGAGGATTGGAAGCAGAGTCTGCACTGTAAGCGCAGAGTCTGATGCGGGGGCTTGAACCCACGAGTCGTGAGATCATGAGCTGAGCCAAAGTCAAGTCGGCCCCTTAACCCACTGAGCCACCCAGGAGCCCCACCGTTGTGAGTCTTTTATTAGTTAGTTTTTTAAATCCCGCTTAGTGTGCATATTGACAGATTTTGCCAGAGAAATAGTAATGCATTTGAATACAGGGTGCTACCCCAGATTTAGCGGGGGTTAAATAAAATATGTAATGGGTGTGTACCAGTTAACTTCTCTAAATTCTTTAAAAGGTCTGAATGCTGAAGTTCACTCCTCTCTAGGGGGACTTGAGTAACAGGTACTGGACTACCACTGTCTGTGCATCAACAGCCAACAGCTACTGACTATGTCCCTGTGCCAGGCACTGTGCGGGGCTCTCGTGTGTATCTGTTCCATCCTGGCATCGTTGCTGTTACTTGTGCACCTTTTACCAGTGGACAAACCAGTAGATGTAGGTACTGGTTTTTCAAAATGATATACATATACTTTTTTATTGAATGATTTTTTTTTTAATTTTTTTTTTCAACGTTTATTTATTTTTGGGACAGAGAGAGACAGAGCATGAACGGGGAAGGGGCACAGAGAGAGGGAGACACAGAATCGGAAACAGGCTCCAGGCTCTGAGCCATCAGCCCAGAGCCTGACGCGGGGCTCGAACTCACGGACCGCAAGATCGTGACCTGGCTGAAGTCGGACGCTTAACCGACTGCGCCACCCAGGCGCCCCTGAATGATTTTTTTAAATATAATTTATTGTCAAATTTGCTAACATACACTGCGTAAAGTGTGCTCTTGGTTTTGGGGGTAGATTCCCGTGACTCATCGCTTACATACGACACCCATTGCTCATCCCAACAAGTGCCCTCCTCAACACCCATCACCCATTTTCTCCTCTCCTCCACCCTCCCCTCAAGATTATATGTTCTAATGAATAAAACTAGAAGTTTGTGGTATTCTTCATGACCATTAAGGAATGAAAACTTTCAAAAATCCTCTGTGAACCAAAGGACACCCTCTCTGGGGTATTAACGTAGGTGTGTTTTGTGCGATAGTGGCCCCCAAATCTCACATGATTGGTGTTCCTCGCAGAGTTGTTCTGCATTCATGACTGCTCTGTGTAAGATACCACTACCCTGTGCTTAAAAAGTGAGCGACCATTTGACTAAGGTTAGTGGTGTGGGTGTCTTTCTGCTAGTGAAGCAATGAGAAGAAGCTGGAATGATTACTGCCTAAATACCTTTGAGAACATCTCTTCTGTTTTCAAGTGATGGACTTAAGAAACGTCAGCATTTTCTTAAAGAATGTTTTCTCACAAGTTTAGACTTTCTCTCATTCTGCCTTTGGATGAGAAAATATCCATGAAGTTTTGTTGATGGCTCGTATTTTACTAGTTTTTCCACAGTCTCTTTTTTCCCCCCTTAAGTGAAAAATAGGTTTATTTTCTTTGATGATAAAAGCGATATATATTCATTATAAAAATATAACAAAGAAAGGAAACATCATTCGTAATTCCAAGACCCAGGTATCTGCTCTTAATCGAATAATTTAATCCTTCATGGGGGGGGGGGATTTATAGTCGATGTTTTTTTCCCCTCCGACCATGTACACGGCATATGCTTAGAAACTTCCATATTTCATACTGATAATGAGAAGAAAAAAGAAGTGGTATTTGCTGAAACATTCTTTTTAACGTATCTCTCCCTTCCTCATCCCTTTTTTCTTTCCTTTCTAAAACCGCTGCCAGCCGCCAGGGCGCCTTTGGAAAATTGCCCCGGCTGCTCAAAGTCAGGGCCTCACAACCGGCATCAGGCGGTGGGGGCTGCCAGGAGCAACCATCCCAGAGTCTCTGGGCGCCAACCCAGCAAGCTCCCGGCACCGCCGCTGCCAGCAGCCACAGGACGCTGGCTGTCCGGCCCTTTTCCTTCCCGCAGCTGCACCAGGGACCCGAGGCTGTTGTCTCCAGGAGGCCTATTGGCCAGATGTTCACACAGTTAATTTTCTCCCTGGAGGGTCTCTGCCATAGCGATGCCAAAATTTAACATAAGCCTGATTTTCATCCTGCATGACCTTTTCTTGGCAATACCCACTTTAAATGGTTCAACTGACAGTGGCCGTAGCAGAATCACCGCTGTTCTGGTATGGCCGAACATTTCCCATCTCCTTATCTTTCTACCTTTGGTTGGTTGATGCCCTAGATGGATTTCTCTTCCCCCACGCTAACTTGGCTTTGTAGTTCCTTTTGGTTCCTCTTGAGAGTCCGGTTTGAACAGGGCCACCGTGTATGACCGTGTGTAGGATGAGCCTGGTGGGGCTCGTACTGCTGGGGATGTTCGTGTTCTTTGGGGTACAGACTGCATAGCTACATGTGGAGGCCCTGAGTCTGGAAGCAAGAGGGGAGAGGAGGGAGAGAGGAAGGACAGCTGCATTCTTACTGTCTAATTCTTACTCTCATGAGAGCAGAGACCTGGTGTGTATATTTATTTCTGGATCTCTAGCACCCCAGGCAGCCCCTCATACAGTATTTCCTGAATGAATGATTTAATACTGAAGGCCAGGAACAGTGCCAGGGATACAGTAAGGAAAAATAATTGACCAGACTCCTGTCCTCATGGAATCTTCTAGTGGGAAGCTAGTCCGTAATCCTGTAAACAACAAATAAACTAGAGAATTTCAGATAGTGACAAGTGAAGGAATGGATGGGGTAATGTGGGAGACTGTGGGGTACTCCTTTGGTGAGGATGCCCAGAGAAGGTCTCTTTGAGGAGCGACATTTGCACTGAGTCTTGAATGGTGAGAAGTGTATCGTAAATGCAAAGTCTCAGGGTTTTAGAAAGGGAAGGAAGCCTGGTATGTGGCTTGGGGGATTTGAGCCAGAAGAGGAAGGTAGGAGGTGGGCGTGAAGTACAGGACAAGGGTTAGATTGTGCAGAGCTGTGGGGAAAGTCTGGGTTTATTCTCAGTGCAATTAGTATTTTGAAATGCCTGTGGTTCCCTTAGTCTGTTTATCCTCTGAAATGTAGTTACCTACAGAAATTCCCAGATTCTACCCCATTTGTGACCTTATATCTGGTTCAGGTGAAGTAATGAAGCAGCACATTTTAATCCCTATTTTTCTCTTTTTGTTGCTACTGGCAAGTGAGGACGTGGAAGGGGAAGGAGGACAGGTATTCCCAGTAGGAAGTTGGACAGTGAGTGCAGGGAACAGCATGGAATAGGGAGACACAGAGGAAGGAATCTAATTATTGAATGTATTAAGCCTTGTACTTGATGCTTTACTTGTATTATTACATTTAATCCTCATAACAGCCTGTGGTAGACAGAATGATGCTCCTTCCCTCCCCATTCCCTGGCATGTCTGTGTGTGCCAGTCCCTGGAACATGTGAACATACTGCATTATGTGGCAGAAGGGACTTTGTACGTACAATTAAGTTAAGGATCTTACGATGGGGAGATTATCCGGCATTATCCAGGTGAGTCCTATCTAATCACAGGGCCTTTATAAGAAGGAGGTAAGAGAGTCAAAGTGAAAAGAGAGAAGGCCACATGATGATGGAAGCCGAGGGAGGAAGGGCATTGTCATGGGACATTTTTTTAATACACCTGCCAAGAAATGAGGAAGCTACCCTCCAAGATGAAAGAGGCAAAGCAACCAATTCTCCCTTAGAACCTTGAGAAGGAACCAGCTTTGCCTTCCCTTCATTTTAGCCCAATGAGACTGACTCTGGACTTGGGAGCTCCACACCTATAAGAGAATATATTTGTGTTGTGTTAAGGCGCTAAGTTTGTAGTAATTTATTACAGCAGCAAGGGGAAACTAGTCCCCAGCCTCACGGTGGAGGTGTCACTAGACTCATTCACAGAAGGGAGGCTAAGATTCAGGGAGGATGCACAGTTAGACTGGAGCTGAGGTGTTTATTTTTTTTTTTATTTTTTAATGTTTATTTTTAGTTTTGAGAGAGAGAGACAGAGCGTGAGTGGAGGAGGGGCAGAGAAAGAGGGAGACGCAGAATCTGAAGCAGACTCCGGGGTCAAACTGAAGAACTGCAAGACATGACCTCAGCTGAAATTGGACGCTTAACTGACTGAGCCACCCAGGTGCCCCTGGAGCTGGGTTTTAATTTCAGTTTGTCTGACTACAGATTCACATTTTTTTCTGCTTCATTGGGCTGCTTTCAGAAGTGAGTGAGTGAGTGAATGAATGAGTACATGTATGTATGTGCAAGGAACTCCTTGGGGCTAGTAGGGAAGCAAATGTGTGACTTAAGGGTGCTGGGAAGAAGGACTTGGGGTCCATGGGCAGGAAACGGCTCTCATGGTAGCCGTCTGGCTGACATGAGTCTAGTGGGCCCAGTACAACTCAACCTCTCCTCCCAAGGCATATGGTCAGCACCTTTTCTGGCTATGTGCCTGGAGGACTTCATTTCAGGCAGGTGAGGAAGAGAGGAAGAGTCCAGATTGTCCTGCTTGGGGAAGAGATGCTTGTGGTGGGTTGCAGTGGAACTCTGAAAGCATTTTTTCATGGAAACATTGCCACAGGGTTGTACGCCCTTTGAATGGAGAGTACTCTATTTAAAGTTTATTATAAGTGGAATAAACTTGTGGGTTACCATGAGCACATAAATACTGGTTTTAATAGTATTTCTATAGGGAAATATATTCTTAATCTCCCAAAAGTGAATTGTAAGGGAACTTTTGGAATGCAAAATTTTATTTGGGGACAGCCAAGAATCTGGTTTTTGCCTGGAATGTTTGTAGTTAGAAGTATTAACGTATTCTGGACGTGACATCCAAAAAGTTTTCTGGGCCCTTTCATTGTATTAGAATGTGCTTAGGTTAAATGTTGATATTACTTGAGCTAAGTGGATTGTGATAGGAATGAGAGAATTTTTTTTTTCAATGCAAAAATTTGGATTGTGTGAGGAGTGTTTGTCTTAGTGTCTCCTTGGCTCCTTCAGCTTATTGTAGCTCATTTCTTTGTGGTGAGGTTGCCTCACAGCTCTCGACTTTAAGCTCGATTATTAGGCACTAACCTGTCATTCCTTTTGCCAATCTGTTTTCAGTTTCCCTCCATGACTCTCTCGAGTAATTTCCCTGGATTTCTTTTTAGTTAAGGTTCTTTCAGTTTCTATACTTATCATTTGTGGTCAGTAATTGGAATGAGGAGGTTGAAAAAAAGATGTCGCTATAGGGATATTTTGCATTGTATGAGGTTTTTTGGCTTCATAATTCTAATAATAATAAAAAAAGATTATATGGTTTCCTAGACAGTTTTCCTACTATACCTATTTTCTGTAGGATTTGACCTAAGAAACATGCTCTGTATCTGTGTGTGTGTATACATCAGTGAAGACTTTTACGGTAAAATTGAATATCAACTAGGATTAGATTTTTAAGTTTGCAGATAGAAAGTCATATACATCAAAATTGCCCTTAAAAATTCTTAAATATGCTCATAAAGTAGAACACACACAGTTTTATATGTAAGTTTTATTTGGAAATCCTTATTTGAGACCAGCTGAGTTAGTCCTTAGGAAGAAACAAAAGGAAAGTCTGCATATAGATGTTCAAAAGTGATTAAAGAAGACAGTTTTCAGTGATACAAACAGACTTTATTTAACGCTTTAGGAAGTGAACAGTCTTCACTGGGAGACTTGGAAAAATGGGCGAAAGGCAGAAAATTTTAATGGGATAAAGAATAACAAGGAAGAAAGATAGGAAGGAAATGTCTGATTGGCTAAGGCCACACAGTCAACCTTGTTTGGGGTAAGAGGGAACCAGGAAGTAAGCATAGCACCCAGGGTTGGCCTGGCTTCTGGAGATGGGCTGACTGGGTCTAGTGGATTTCTGGTCGAGCAGAGATTTATGGGCACACAAAAGTTACCTAAGGTTCTGTTTGCTAACATGGCAGGAGCATCTCCATCTTCCAGTCTAGAAATGTATTTAGGGGCGCCTGGGTGGCTCAGTCATTTAAGGGTACGACTTCAGCTCAGGTCATGATCTCATGGTTCATGGGTTCGAGCCCCGCTTTGGGCTCTGTGCTGACAGCTCAGAGCCTGGAGCTTGTTTCAGATTCTGTGTCTCCCTCTCTCTCTGCCCCTCTCCCACTCACGCTCTGTCTCCCTCTGTCTCAAAAATAAATAAACATTAAAAGAAAAATTTAGAAATGTATTTAAACATGCTGTTAATAACTTTAAAATCTCTAGGAGTAAATGGGGAAGAGATGGAGAATTGAATGTTCCTGTTGCTTGCAGGGAGTTATTCTGTTTTTTGCTTTTTGTTTTTTGTTTTTTTAATGATGAATGTTCAGGGGTGCCTGAGTGGCTCAGTCAGTTAAGTGTCCGACTTCGGCTCAGGTTGTGATCTCATGGTTCGTACGTTTGAGCCCCACATCGGGCTCTGTGCTGACAGTTCGGAGCCTGGAGCCTCCTTTGGATTCTGTGTCTCTCTCTCTCTCTCTGCCTCTCCTCCGCTCGTGCTCTGTCTCTGTCTCTCTCTCAAGATTAAATATACATTAAAAAAATTATGATGAACGTTTATGTCTGATATATATTGATCACTTTGTTGTACGAATTAAATGAGATAACTTATGTGAAAACTAACAGGGAAGCAGTAGGTGTTTAACAAACATTTGCTGGATTTGAATCTACATGTCACAGGTGGTATTATGGCCTGCTGATCAGATTGTTCCTTTGTTTTGGCCTTTCATGCAAAATTAGATTTTTCAATGACAAAATAGGAGATAGCAATTATTCTTTCTTTTCTGGGTGTTCTTAGGATGAATTGAGTGATGTTATTGATATTAAGGATCCAGATTTCACTCCTGCACCTGAACGAAGGCAGAAACGCCTGGATGCTGAGTTGGCCAAGTTTGATCCTGATCATTATCTGTGAGTTTTTTGAGCGTTTAATTGACCTGACGTTGATTTGAAAATTTTTGGAGTGCCTTTTTTAACTATGCTAGGCCTGTGGTTTTGGGATTCTCGAAATTAGTGATGGCTCAGAACCTTAATTGACTTTTGAATTAACCTACAAAGTGTTAAGCCTCTGTGATCTTTCTAAGATATCATTCCAGCATCGGAGAACTCTTAATGTACTTCTTTAAGTTTTTCTTCGCCAGGCTTAAAAGTAGAACACTGCATTCGTGAGAATATTTATAGTTCTTCTCAGTAGACTTTTTGTTGTAATTAATGGTCTATGTAAATGAAAAGATGTTTCAGTTTTTTTTTAAGAATTTGAATCTACATTTACTACATTTCTTGGCTGAGCCAGGGTTTTACCAACACTTCATTTCCGAGCCCCTGTAATTGAAGATCTGAGTCTAATTAACAAATAATTGTTCATTGCAGTAGGGTATAAATAAAATCTAATTTTAAGTTTTGTTGTATTTCCCATCTGCCTTGATTGTGTCTTTTGCCATAATGTGTCACTTGCAGGCTTGTATTTGCCTAACAAACTTATCTAGTTGATGCATAGGTAAATAATCACTTGAGCATTGTGATGTCTCTCATTGGCCACAAAAGCAGTACTTCTTCCAAGTAAGGGATTGTCACCTGGCTTCTGTGGATACTCGGCTCTCTTAGGATGTGAGTCCTAGGTTGATGTAGGCCTCAATTATTATTCTTCCCAAGCTCTGGGCCAACAATTTCTAAACCGTTATACATGCAGCTGTAATCATCATATTCCCTTATATTTGTATAGTGCTTTCAGCTTATCAAGTGCTCTCAAGTGATTATTTAAATCCGTTTTCACAACAGTTGGGTAAAGAAGGTTAAGGGACTTGCCCAAGGTCATACCACTACTAAGTGGCTCCGTCAGGACTTGAAAAGAGTCTTTCCATTTGTCATTTTGTATTTCCTTTTCATGTACACTATTTCAGTTTAACTGCTGTTACTCTTGTGATTAACATTCTATCTCCTGTGACACAGTGGGAGACTAATTGGAATGGCAGAAATATATCTTGTGATGTGCAAATGCATTGAGTGATGTGTAGCGATAAATGGTCAGAACTGTTGAACATCCTAGGGGGAACTGGGTAAGAGCAGCGTATGTTATATTTTGGAGGACATCTGAGAGATTCAGCTCCATTTATATTGCCATTTCTAATTACCTTTATCTCTCCAATTGTGGCTTTAAAGGTCCACTGAAGAGTAATTTGAAGAAACCTATTTAAAATCATGCTGAATATTTAAAGTGGGAAATTTCATTGTCAGCAAATTTCTCGGGCCAGCATGAAAACAGAATGAGCTTTACAAGAGTAAAATTTCAAGTGGGAGGGAGCTTAATTAGAAGAACTGCCTATCTCTTCTCTTCTAAAACTGGAAGAATAACGACATGGCCTGAGAGAATTAGGAAATTGGAATTTATACTTAGCAGTGTGATATTATATGCAGCCCTTATTTTTCTCCATCTTCTGTGTTTCTTTATCCAGAAGCTCATTTTCTTTAATAGTATGCATGAGCTATTCTTTCCATTATTTAAAGAAGAGTTCTTACACGAGTGGTTTAAATTTAGTCATGGGCAGGTCGGAGAGTGGGAGCTGTGCGGTAAAGGTTCTTTGTGACTTCTCCAGTAACAGTAAGACTTTGGCTAATTGTAGTTTTTGTGTTACTTCTTACCCATTATTTATATTGGCTGACTGACTCAGCCAGATGTGTTAATACTAGAGAAGTCCAAGTAAAATTCTTTTAAATTTTCAATCAAAAAAAATTTTTTTTAGCTCAGTGCTTTTTAAATTGTTCTTAATGGTTAATACAGTGGAGGAAAAGGTTTGCTTCAATTTTTACCTACCATGCAGACAACACATTGCGTGTGTCATGTTAGACATTTATGTACGTGAATGTAATGTACATGTGTAATACATAATATATGTCATTGTGAAGTATATGAGACTTTCAAGTTGTGTGACTTCTTACTGGTCGTGATGTCTCGTCACGGTGTCTGATATTTTACAGGCTTAAGGAAAACTAATTTTAATTCTATCCTAAGGCAGAACACAGTGAGGTAAATTCAGTACATAGAAAAATTCATACCTTTCAAAGGCACATATAAATGACTTAGGATAATAATTATTTTTTAGGTCTTGTGTTGTAAAATCTAGAGGCCATTCTGCGATGTTATTCCTTGCTGTGTGTTTTGCAGCCCAGCAGAATACTGGGCATATAACAGATGATCCATAAACATGCCTTGTTTTTGATTGTCTATTTTTTGCTGTTTGTAACTCCTTTTGGGCATTATTTTTACACTACAGTTTGTTGAAGGTATCTGGAAACATTCTTTAATAGGCCTTCCTGTTTTGCCTATCATCGCCAAGTTTTCATATTTCTCTTGCCGAGAGTGGTTTTTCTTTCCTTCCCTAGGCATATTGTTTTTTTTAATTGTCAGCATATCTTTTACCTGAACCAATTCATAAATCTGCCTATGTCCTTCTTTGGGAGAAAATAGAAGAATTGAGTTAGCATTCTAAATATCTGTGAGATGAGAAGAGGTACAAAAATGATCCCTAGCATTTGGGGTGCCATTTTAAATTGTAACTTTTCAGTGCTGTAAATTTGTTTAAGAGTTTGATACACTCATCTGGCTTTTGGATTAATTGAGGAATGTCAAGGCTCTGAGTGCTAATGATGAGGCTGGGAAGAAGATCACTTGCTTCCAACATGGCTCTTTATTCAAAATGGCAAGCTTAGGAAAAAGCATTAGAGGAAAATCTCATCGATTTCTTCTTTCACATATGCACTAATTTGTTCAACAAATCCCAGTTTGAATGAACTGCATGCCAGGCAGAGTCACACATACTGAGGATTTGTGTGAACACCACAAGGTCACTGCATTCATGGGGCTTACTTTCTAGTGGGGAAGGAGACAAGATTTGGATTGTGATAAGTGCTCTGGAGAAAAGTCACGTTGTTAAGGGTTTGGAGAGCGACTGGGTATTTGCTGACCTCCTCTGCTGAGTGTCCAAAATTGAACTCATCATTTTTACCTGGAAAGTCTTCCTGCATTTTCTGTTCGGTGGAGTGTACCATTTTTCACTCCAGTCACTCAGGGTAGAAACCCGGGATTTATCTTCGACTCCTGTCTTTCTCCACACTTCTAATCCATCCAGAAGTGGTACCATTTATCTCTTTGCTGTTTCCTTCACTCAATCTCTTTCTGGTCCTCCTGTATGTTTGGCTTAGTGCAGCAGTCTCATGACTTCGTATTTGGTGTATCCACCTCCAGCCTGGACTCCTGCAAATCCATCAACCATAAAACCACCAGTATCATGTCTTAAGTACTGAAAGTGAACATCTGCTTTAAATCTTCACTGGGTTCTCCATCAATTAAAGTATATAAACTTCTACCTCCTTAGCACGGTGTAGAAAGTTCTCTGTGACCTGGACTGTGCTTACGTCTGGAGCTTCTCTTTTGCCTGTCCCTGTCTACCCTATACGCTGCAGCAGTAATGAATTTTAGTTATTTCCCTGCCTGTACCACGCCACTTCTTGCACACTTTGTATTCATGATGCTCCTGTGACAGCTGTTTTCTCCCTTGCTCCACCTAGCTTGGATAACTTTTATCTTTTAAGACTGGGCTCCACTGTCACCCCTTGGCACACCCCCTCTCAGACTGGCAGAGGAAGCCCTCCTCGGGGCTTCCAAGTGACAGATCATCTTGATGTTACAATATTCTCTCTTTGTATCCATTCCCATTTCATTGTGGAGCCCTGAAGGGTCAGGAGTGTCTTACTGATCCTCATCTCCCTGATGCTGCATTTTCATGGGGCACTCGGTAAATGCTCATTGAGTGAATGACATTTAGAAACTTGAAAATAAATTCATTTTGCAAAGTAGAACATTAGTCAACTTCAGATCTTGTTCACAAAACTCTTGAACCATGGACAGTGCAAAGGATAAGCCATCACATTTTCAACTATTGGGACTATATTAGTGAGATTTTACTCAAAAGAGTCATTTAAACATTTTGAAATTTTTAGAGGGAGGGCGTGGAAGTGGTAGATTTTACAAGGTCTTGTTTTGTGTTTTTTTCCCATCACTTCTTCTAGGGAGACCCAGAATCATTTTAGATGGGCTCTTCAACTCTTGACTTGTGTCGTCAGCCCTCCAGTATGTGGAGTCCTTTTTCTCATTCTCCCAAGTTCTCTCTGGGTGATTGTGTGTTCTCCCTTGGCCTCCGTCACTGTCTAAATGCTCACGATTCCATGTGTCTCTCCTGAGCATCAGATCTGTGTGGCTAACTGCCTATTGCGCCAGTCTCTGTATGTCCTGCAAGGATGTCTCAAACTCAGCCTGTTCTAAGCGGAAGTCTCCAGCTATTCTGTTTAGTGTCCCTGTGTTCCTGTCTCGTCACAGGGCACTGTTGTCCACTGAACTGTCTCAGCTGGAATGCTGGATATAGACCTTGACTCCTGGCCCCCTTTATGTCTACATCCTAAGGATTCTAGCCTCTGACTGTAGCTCAGATCCACTTTGCTCCAGGTCCGTTGCTACTACCCCCTTCCAGGCCTCCATGATTTCTGTGCTCCGGGGCTTGCTCCTAGACCGTGTTCCAGACCAGTGAGAGCAGTGGGCCAAAGCACACTGATATGAGACCCATATGTAAAAGGTTTTAAGTGTCTAGTCGTTTTTAGTGACAAAAATCCACTAGATTTTTTGCACATGGCTTACAGTGTTGTTGTCACTACAGCGTATTGTTTTCAGCTATCCTCAACTCCCCTTTGCCCCCTTAAACGTGCCTTCTTGTTTCCTGGCCTTTGCTACCTATTCTTGTAGCCAGAATACTCTCTCCTATCTGTCTTAGTCTAGTTAACTGTTTATTGTCATTCAGCTATTGGCTTAGATAGTCTTCCCTTCAGGGACCTTCCCTGTCATCCCAGTTTGACTTTGCCATAGATGCTCGTACTGTTAGGTCATAGTAGTTACATAGCACTTATATTGTGACTGCTGGGCCCTCCTGTGACACTGTAATTTCCGTAAGGACCCTGACTGCATGTTCTTGTCAGCCGTGTAACCCCAGTGCCCAAAATGGAGTCAGTACTACTGTTGGCACAGGGTAGAGTCACTACTTCCTGTTGACTTTTATTAAAGCATTTTAGCTGTTTACTTGTAGTACTTATCTTTTTGAAATATCTCTCATGTACCTGACAAAAATTGATAATTGAGAATTACTATTTCAAGATCATTGCTATTCGGTTTTGTCTCATATGTACTTTTATTTCCTCAAGCATAAAAATGGAATGTTTATATTGGTTAATGGCTTGGATTCTGGAGTAAGACTTAATTGGGTCCAGATCCTGGCCACACTTCTTCCTGGTTCTTTGACCTTGGCCACGATATACAACTTTTCTGACCCTCAATTTCCACCCATGTAAAATGGGAGTATTAGTAGTACCCCCTGCCTATGGGGATGGTGTGAAGATTTAAGAAAGTGATGGGTGAAAAGTATTTAGTGCAGTGCTTGGCATGTATGAAGAATTCAGTAAGTTATCTGATTTTCTAATCAGAAATTAACTCAGTTAATAACTCAGTTATCTGAGTTTCTAATTTTAGAAAGATTTCATTATCTCAGTTGAAAGAAAAAATATTTCAGGTCATAAAACTATCAGCTAGAAAATCACCCTGTGAAAACAACCAATTCCTTGAGTTTCTAATTAACTGACATATAAATGAATTTTTCACCATGAGTTCTACTTTTTTGTTGTTCTGTTCCCACGAATACCAGTTTTCAACCTTGAATGCAAGGTGGTAGAATTTCTGAATAAATGTCCTCCAGGAACCTATTTTGAAGGTAGCAGTTATTTTGCAAGTTAAAACCCAGAAAGTGAAGTACACGCAAATTAATTTTCTCTCCTTTACAAACGTTGCTTTGTTCTTTTCCAATAGTTTTTAGCCAAGGGACTATTAGGACTAGCAGAGCTAAGTAAGAGAAATTGCATCTTGGTAGAAAGTATGAGGGTGCATGCTAATAAATGGTGTGTGTGTGGGGGTGGGTGGGTGTGCAGTATCTCGTATTTCCTGTTGATTATTTTTTTTTTCCTTTGGTAGAATTAAAAGATTCTTTCCTTTATTGTAACCTTACCAGAACAGGTGGTACTTAAAAACCTAGCCCAAGTTCAGTGCTTCAGTCCATTTTGTGTTCAGATTTGCCTCATCCCATGCCAGTGCAGTACGGGGGTAGGCCTTCAAGGGAAGGACTGGTGCTTTCTCCACTTTGTTTCTGAGGAGAGCAGAAATGTCACATATCCCTTTAGTCTGACCCCAGCTTTCGTTTTATGGTGATTAGTGACCACTCAGAAAGTGAACACAGTGCTCATTTCCTTGATCTGTACTTTGAATTAACAATCTCTGTTTCTAATACCAAACGTAAGGAGTTAAGATAAAATTAAAAGAAAAATGAAACTCAGCTCAATTCTATGTAACAAGCTCGTTGACTGTTTTCTTTACAGAGCTGACTTTTTTGAAGATGAGGCTGTTGAACAGATTTTGAAGTATAATCCTTGGTGGACTGACATATATTCAAAAATGATGGCCTCTTTGGGAAAGAGTCAGGAGCAAGAAAATCATGCTGCATTAGGTAAGCAACTCAAAATTAGGCTCATTTGTTTCCCGTCTTCCCTGTTACTAAGCACACAGTTGTAATTCTCTCATGGAGGGAAGATATTCTTTTGGTTTGCTAATTTTGGAAATGGAGTCTTCACCCCAGACTGGAAAATGCTACTCGATGATTAGACTGGTCTTGGAACAGTCTTTTGAAGTATAGTTGAATCATTGGGATCCTTTTAAAAATTTTTATTTTTTAAGTAAATTTAGGGACATGAACACACAGGACATCTGTAATAGTTGAATAATCTGCTTAAAAGATCTGAACATTCCACTGTAGTAAGGGCATTTGAGTATTAGCAATGGTGGGAAAAGACCTAGTTTTCATTCCCTTTGTCTGTTGATTGAATTGGATATGTCCTCTCCAAGTTTTTCATGATATTACATCTGTATGTTAGAATTATAACAGTTTCAGACAGATCAAGAGTAGAAGGCCCATGTTTTGCGGTATACTGATTTGGCTTTTATCTCTGTATTAAAAAACAGTAATCACTCTTAACAGTTTTAGGGTTTTTTCAGTGCATATACCAACATCTGAATATTAGCTGTAAGAAATTTATAAACAGACTCACACGCACTCTGTTCTTTCTTGACTTTCTCCAGTGTGTAGCACATGTTGTACCTCTTCCATGTCGGGCACGTAGGGTTCTTCCTGAGCTTTTAATAGCTGCCTGGCATTCTGTTGTATATTTTTATCATGATCAATGGATATTTGGGCTATTTATTACTGATGGGATGTTTGGGTTGTTTACAGTTTTTTTGCAGTACCTTCTTTGGCCACTCCGTCTGAAATAGCTGCAAGTCTATTGCCTAACAGTACTTTGATTCTCTGCATAGTAACGCGGTCGTCTGTTGTTTGCTATATTTCTGTTGTCTAGCAGAGTGCCTGTTGTATACTAAGTTCTTGGTAAATATTTATGGAAGAGATAAATACTGTACAAAGTATTTTTGTAGTTCGGTTTTGTTAGAGTTTAGGTGATTTCTACCAGATGGAAAAATTGCTGCTTTAATCTTTTATAATTGACTACTGCAGTAGAGAAACTCATTTATAAATAATGGCTCTTGTTACATTCTTTTCAACAAATCCTTGGTTTTATATTTGATTTGAGTTTAAGAATCTTTCAGAGACCTCCCACATTATATTGACACATTTTCAGGTAGAGGATTGCTAACACAGTTGAGATAGGTAATTGTATATGCCACGTAGGTCTGCTTAAAATGTCTGCTCACTCTGAAATCATCAAGGCTATCTGCTGGTCTCAATCAGTTTCCCCAAATTTGGTGCAGTGTTTTGATAAGGTGGTGCAGGTGGAAATTGGTGGTTGTGTAGTTAAGTTTTCTGTCCACAAGGGTGAGCTAGTTGCCCTAAAAATCAAGAAAAGGCATTACCTTTCTTTGATTTAAATTCGAACTTGCTTCACTTGGATCCTTTGTAGCTTGCTCTAGGTCCTGTTTTCTGTGAGAGCCAGCCTTTGAGTTAGTTCTCTGTGTGTAATTGTAACAGAAGATTAGACTAGTTCTTCCCTTTAACCACTGCCTCTCCTGTCCCTTCATCTTCATTCCACCTGTGACATGTATCCCGACTGGTGCTTAGAGAACAATTGTAGCCTGCTAAGCTAGTATGGTGATTCATTTTAAAAATCACCTTTAAAAATAGCAAGGACTTGTGATCTAAGGTAGAAGAACTTGAGCTCTGTGTTGTTGTACAGAAAGCACTTTTCGTAATGTGCCAAGTATAGGGTTAAGGATGGATATAAGCTAAAGATGGGGTTCGGGCTTTAACACCTTGCGCCATCACAGGCTAGTTGTGTGATCTTGCAACTTGGCAGGGTTGCTGTGGAAATCTTATACCTACCACATAGAGTTGTCTTGATGACTGAATGAGATGATGTACTTGAAATCCCTAGCATGTTGTAAATGTTAGAGATTATTATTGTAGACTAACATCAATGGTGGGAGTGCCAGAAATTGAATGGCCTGTCTGTGAAATTAAAATTTTTGTACATTTATGAAGCTTTAGGGGGAAGTTTTTTGTTAATGAGATCTTTCTTTCTTTCTTTTTTTAAAAAAAAGTTTATTTTTTTATTGTTGAGAGAGAGAGAGAGCACGTGCATGTGAATGGGGGAGGGGCAGAGAGCGAGCCAGAGGGAGAGAGAATCCCAAGCGGGCCCTGTGCTATCAATAGAGACCCTGATGGGGGGCTCCATCCCACAAACCATGAGATCATGACTTGAGCCGATACCAAGAGTCAGACGTTTTACTGACCGAGCCACCCAGGTGCCCCTGTCTTTCTTTCTTTTTTTCTTGGTCAAGTATTGGAGGTCCCCAGAATTGTGAAAATGTTTTGAAGTGTGTTCACCCAGATGATAATATGGGCAAAAAGAAATAAACCAAGAAATAAACTTTCAAGTCCTTAGCCTACTCAAGGAGCATGCTCGTGCTGTATTTTCCCTTCCACTTCCTCTTTGTTCTTTGCCTCCCTGGCTTCCTTCCTTTCTGTGTCACTGCAGTGGGTGTTGCCAGGCAGATACAGCAGTGTGGGTGAGGGCTCTACCTTTGATTCAGTCTCATCATAAAATAGTAAGCTAGATTGTTTAGAATTCCACATAAGCCTTAGGTGGTGAACTTTGCTCCCTGTCTTTGCCTCAGTTATGATTCCTTTGATTTTATGATTCCTATGATTTTCATTGTAGGCCTCAGTTACAACACGGCGACTTTTATTAATGATCCCAGTCTTCCTCCCCAAAGGCTTGTAAATGGAAGTGTTAAATGCTATGCTCCTGCTGAGCTCTGGTTTCATGAGGATGGACTTACCACATTTCCCATGTTGTCTCTCCGTGGTTAATCTCAGCCCAAGAATCTTGGCACATGGTTGCATGGTGTGACACCACATAACACTTTTAGTCAATGAACTTCCTAGCGGGGACATCCTGTTTGGCACCAGTGAGTTCTCCAGTGTTTGTAGAGCTAACTGTCAGTGTCAGCTTTGAAAGTTGTAGCGCTGCGGGACTACCCATTTAGGCTAAAGGTTTGAATGCAGCACATTTTCTTCTGGTTCCCTTGATCTGTTTCCAGAAAGTATACAATATAATAGACAGATTTGCATTCCTCCGAGAGGAGCCGGATCAGGGATTATTTAATTGTTGCCCCACAGAAGACAGATATTTGGGAGGGGGATTTAGAGAGAAGGGACGATTTCAAAGTAACACAACTAGAGAATGTTCAAAGTGAAGTTAAGAAGGTCACTTTCCATTTTGATGGGAGCCCCTTTGCAGTCTTCACATGTACCGATTGGGGTTTTTTTTTTTAACATTGGGAGGTGGTCCCGGGCCATTTGCATCATGCTAGTGCACCAGTGTCTTCCCCAAATGAATTGAGCTTTCCGCTGCCTTTGTTTGACTGTAGATTATTTATAGAAGTATAATTAACCGAAATGTTGTGAACTGTATAGCAAGGCTGCTTTGTAGTGTAGCTTAGTCATACAAATGCTTGACAAATGTTACTCATGGTGGCAATCATCCAAGTATTGTTGGCACCGCATCTGTAGTCATTTTCATTGCCACAGCTTAGTTAGACCTGATTGTGTGCAAACCTCCCCAAGTTCCCCTTTGGGTGATGTGATTTACAGCTCTAATCAAAAAGGCCTTGGGGAGCTAAGACTTTTGGTTTCTCTAGTGATTTCCTACTTTGTTAATATTGTTATTTATCATCTCTGGTTCCTTTGCTTGAATTTCAGAATTTAAATGCATTTGTGTATTATTAATGAGCTATTTAAGCCAAAATGGACTTGAAAACGCTCAGAAAAAGGTGGTGGTATGTTTTAAGGAAAGGTTAGGGGCACCTGGCATCCAAGAATTCTTGAGTACATTCACGTAGGCTTTTCTTACATACACGGTCTTGGAAAGTGACTTATGTTATGCAGAGGCCCTTACTTGTGGGTAATGGAACATCAGAACCTATAGTTCCTAGGTCAGTCTTTACAAAGGATTAAGTGTATATACAGGTGTGATTACTTGAGAATGAAGGTATAAACATTTAGATGAGTAAATGTATTATTAAATGGTTCTGGGAATGCTTACCTTATGATTTAGAATTATCTGGAAGCAGAAGTCCTTATTAGTCAACTAGGATAAAGGCTTTTCTCAAGTGAGATAATATCATCATGAACACCTGGCACTTTGCTATTAGCTGAAGTAATGAACATCTCAAAACTATACCTATGAGAATACTGTCTCAAACCTTCTTATGAATTACTAGGGGACTAAAATACTTTGTTAGGTATACGTTCTTCATGCAGTGAATATGTGCTTTCTTACATTTTCCTTAAATCACATTGCTTTAATTGAACTGAGAGCTTCTATTTAAATTAAGGGATCCTCACATTAGCCCTTCAATGAGACATTCTGCACCCAGTTTATCTGTCTTATTAATTCTATTTCCAAATCCCAGTCTTTAAAGAATGCTTCACCTGACACCTACCTGCATTAAGTTTAAAAGTATACACATATCTTTATGTTGCTGCCAGCAAATTAAAGCAAATGCATTCCCATCATTGTCATTTATGTAAGCAGCACTTGTGCAAATACATTTCCTGTTTCTTCTCATACTTTTTAAACATAGAATTTCTAACATCATTAAAAAATGATTACATAAATATATTTTAAGATCTGGTTTTTTGCACTAAGTAAATTTTAATGAGTAGAGGGGTATTGCTTCTAGTAATTTCCAATAACTGCGCTTAAGATTTTTTTCCCCCAGAGGATAGAGTGTAAAATGGCTGGAAGGAAGCCTTTAAACAAAAAGAAGCCATGTTAAAGTTAAGGCTCCTAAGAGAGGACAGAAGTGGGTTTGGGAAACTATGTGAAAAGGGCCCAGCATGTGAGGAAATCTCTCTCTTCTGGCCTTGTCCAGTTGTGATGAGCAAAAGGGCAGTTTTTTTTTTTTTTTCCAACGTTTATTTATTTTTGGGACAGAGAGAGACAGAGCATGAACGGGGGAGGGGCAGAGAGAGAGGGAGACACAGAATCGAAAGCAGGCTCCAGGCTCTGAGCCATCAGCCCAGAGCTCGACGCGGGGCTCAAACTCACGGACTGTGAGATTGTGACCTGAGCCAAAGTTGGACGCTCAACCAACTGAGCCACCCAGGTGCCCCGCAAGAGGGCAGTTTTTGTTGAGCAGATAGAAGGGATGGGGTAACTGGCTAGTAAGAGAGTGATTTGGGAATACTAAAAAGCAACTTAATTTTTGGGCTCCTAAAAGCATCACAGCCACCTGGTGTCCGTTTTAGTCTTCCTCCCCTCAGGGGCTTCCTGAGTTGGAGCTAGACACGTGAGCATGCAGCTAGTGACTTCCCCGCTGACTCCCTTTGCTCTCCTTCTTCGCCCTCAGCGTGGTCCTGTGCCTAAGTCCTGGGTGATGGGAAATGACGGAAGTGGTGTGTGCCCTGGCCCCGGTCTTGAAGGAACTTGCCGTCTTAGGCTGCTTGCCCATTGGTTAGGAAATGGTAAACACCTGGAACAGCTTTCTTAGATGCATAGTTGGAAGTCATATGATGGAGATGCTGATGCCTCACCAGTCCTGGATCATTCACTCAGAATAGTAGTGTGGGAGACAAACTTCTGTTGCAGAGAAGCCACTGTATTTTGGGGTCTCTTGGTTAGCAGTTTAGCCTGTCCTTACCTAAATGTAACAGGCAATTCTAAAATCTGGAGAAAGAGCCTTTTAAAGTTTTGTTTTGTTTTGTTTTGCTTTGTTTTGAACTACGTTAGTATGAACCACTGGAACTGGAAGCAAAATGCTCCTCTTTATTGGGCCTAACTTTTTAAGTGAATTTGAAACTAATGGTCTGATAGGGCATGGAACGAGAGTTAAAGATTACTTTGCAAGGTAAAAGGTTGATAACCTTTTTTTTAGAGGTAGCTTAAAATATCTAGATGCTTAAGTTTCTTTAGAAATCGCTCTAAAGTCTGAGAACAAACTGAGGGCTGATGGGGGGTGGGGGGGGTGGTGATGGGTATTGAAGAGGGCATCTTTTGGGATGAGCACTGGGTGTTGTATGGAAACCAATTTGACAATAAATTTCATATATTTAAAAAAAAAAGAAATCGCTCTAAGGTAAGTAGCAGGCCATGTTTTACTTACACTAGCTAGGAACTGAGTACACTTATGATGTTAGTTGTTACTCTTTCTGTAAATCTTGCTCTAAGGTAAGATGCATTTTACTTCATATATATGATAATAACCGATAATGCTCATATTGTTTTAAAAAAATTTTTTTTAACATTTATTCATATTTGAGAGACAGAAGGGTGTGTGAACTGGGGAGGGGCAGAGAGAGAGGGAGACAGAATCCAAAGCAGGTTCCAGGCTCTGAGCTGTCAGCACAGAGCCTAATGCGGGGCTTGAACTTACTGCCTACAAGACCATCACCTGAGCTGAAATTGGATGCTTAACCTACTGAGCCACCCAGGAGCCCCTGAAAATGCTCATGTTTTAATGTGAGAAAATAGATCCTTGATGATAGCTTGTCTATATTGTAAACATCAGAGGAAAGTTAGAACTTCAGCCTTATATACTTGCTTACCTTACCAATGTAGACATAAAGGTTTTTTTTTTTTTTTTTAACTATTAGCATTTATTAAGTACTTCGTTTTTTTTTTTTTTTTTAGTCAAGGCAGCCAAATACTGGGTAAGGTGGTTTGTGAAAAGAAATAGCTTTTCTCTGTCCTATCAAAAATTACTGGAAATGGGGGGGGGGGGAGAATATTGTATTTACAAGCCACTAAAGCTGAAAATGCTTGGAAATAATTGTTAGTAAGAAAACAACAGATCTATTTGACAAAGCTAATAGTTCGGTACAGTGGGGAAAAGATGGATTACTGACCAAACTGTGCTGGTGCAATTAACTGTTTACCTGGAATTAACCAGAATCCTTTAACATGAAAAAATTACTTCCAGATGGATTAAAAACTTAAGATTTTAGAAAGGAAACTGTAAATCTTAAAGAAAAGATGAGAGGTTTCATGTACATTTTCAGGAGTTGGGGAAACTTATTGGAGACTGTCAATCCAGAATCTTTTTTTTTTTTTTTTAAAGATGGATGTATTTGGCTACATGCAAAAAAATAGATAAATCAATGGCAAAGGATCCCATAAACAAAGTCAGTAGAGATACAGTCGATTTGGAGATATGACTAGGGTTCATATCTATAACAGCAAGTTCTTAAAAATTTGATAAGACAAGCCATCCAATAGAAAAAAGTGGGCAAAACACATTGAATGGTTCGTTCAGAGGTTGCCAGCAAACCTATAAAATAATGCTTAAAGTTTAGCAGTTAGAAAAATACTAACCGCAGTAACAGTGGTATATCATTGTATTAGGTTTCTTTTGCTGTGTAACCAATTACCACAAATTAGAAACAGTTCTAATTTGACTCATTTTCCATGGCTCAGGACTCGAGTTTGCTAGCTGGGTTCTCTGCTCAGGGTCTTATCAGGGTGTACATAAATATGGCCATCTTCTCTTTTCTTTTTTCATATGTGTTGGTAGCTATGTTCTTTTCTGGACCTCAGGGTTCTTTTCCAGGCTCATTTGATGGTTGGCAGAATTCTGTTCTTGCATCTGTAGAACTAAGGTCCCAGTGCCCTTACTGGCTGTCAGCTGGAGGCTACTCTCACATCTCACAGCCCCCCACACTCTCCTGCCAAACAGCCTTCTAACAACATGGCATCTTATTTCTTCAAAACCAGCGGTGAGTCTCTGGCTCCAGTCTGTTCTTTAAAGCGACATAATCATGACAGTGACTGTCCGATCACCATTGCCATATTCTTTTGGATAGAAGCAAGTCACAGATTCTGCCCACATTCACTGGGTCTCCTCTTAGAATTCTTCATACTACAGTCACTTCCTATCTGTTAAAATGGAAATGAGTAGGAAAAGCAATGATATTTATCGCTGGGTGGGAGGGATGGGTGTAGAAGGAGAACTTGTATCCAGGGCCATTAAAAAGGAGAGTTGTAGCCTTTAAATAAAGTATTCTTAAAAAACAGATGCACTTTTTAACCCAGTGAATTTACTCTCGGGAATCTCTTTTATAGAAATAAAACCTCCCAGTATCCAAGGATGTGTGGTAAGGACATTTATGCAGTCTTACTAGCGGTGGCAGAAAACTGGAAGCATAGTGGATGCCCATCAGTAGGGGGAGTGGTTGGATAGAGCATACCACACCATGGAATATTCTGCGCCTTTACAAAAATTAGCTAAGTGCCAGTTGACTTGGAGAGATTTGCCAGAGTTATTCAGTGAGGTAGGCTAGGTGGAAAAAAAGGATTGAATTCTATGGGTGGGGGAGGGAGGATCATATAAATTCCTTTGTAAATGTTTATGTGTCTGTATAGCATTACATGATTATAGAGAAAAATATGAAATGATATATACTAGAATTTTAATGTGGGGGAGGCTGTTGTTGAAGATGTAGACAGGGTGAAAGCCAGAGAAGAAAAGACACACTGTTGAAAAGAACCATCTTCTTCCCACAAGTCAAATATGTGTGATGTGGTCCCATTTGTGTGTTATGTAGGTAATACTTTGTGTCTAAAAGATATTAATAGATACTTTGCCCTTAGCATTGCCTATTATATGGGAATATTCCTATTCTTTTGTATAGAACTTTCAAAATGGATAAGGAATATTTACAGAGTGCTTTATTTAACCATTATGTTTTCTGTTCTCAAACTGTGTTATCTGAATTTTAAAGTCAATAGCTCTGGCATTTAGATGCCTTGAATACAGGACAGTGTAGCAAAAAAGAGGGGGCATCCCGGAAGTAAGGAATAAATACTGTTTAGACATTTCTCCTTTATTTAGCTCTACTAGGGTTTGAGCAGATGCACAGCCCTTAATAAAACTGTGAAGCCTAGTTTAAAAGTTCCTTCTATATTCAGAGTTAAATTACTCTTATTTCAGTTTCTATAATCGAAGTTCTAATTTTGACAAATCCTCCGCACTGGGTTTTTTTTTTTTTTTTTTTTTTTTTTTTTTTTTTTTGCAAAACTGAATGGAGTGTTTCATTTTTAAATGCATTTTTTTCCTAGTGTCTTTTTCTGAAGAAGAGAAATATCAGCTGCGAAAATTTGTCAATAAATCTTACCTACTGGACAAGAGAGCTCTTCGCCAAGTGTACTACAGTTTGATTGATATCCTTCTGGCATATTGCTATGAAACTCGTGTCACTGAAGGAGAGAAGAACGTAAGTGCACACGTGTCTGTGCATGTTGGCATACGTGAGCAGACTAAATCAACTCTAAGGCGTCACTCCTGTGGAGAGTAAGCCCTGTTGGGATGATTTATTTGGGGGATGCTCCTGGCAGAGCTGCACGTGCGTGTTAGTGGTGGGTACCGATGTGAGCACATATTGCTGGCTTGTTCTTTTTTCCTTCTCTCTCTGCGCATCAGTGTCTATCACATGGTGGAGGGGGGCAATAAAGCTGAGGGTAGAGAAAGGATATCCTGAACTCTCATCTCTTTAGGAGACGACTTGTTCAAAGAGGGCTGTTTCCATGTGACACTTGACATTGGCAAGAGGTGAACTTTACCATACCCATTTACATTCTCTGGCCAAGCTGTCCATGAGCAGATGTGAGGTATATCTATTTTACAAAAAAGGGAATCTGAGCATTTTTCTGCAGGTGTCCCTCAATTTATATAGTATGTATGCTTCTGAAAAAATTACACGTAAATTACATTTTGAAAAACCTGAATCCTATCTTTTTTGCTATTTATTTATTTATTTATTTATTTAAAAAAAAATTTTTTTTTTCAACGTTTATTTATTTTTGGGACAGAGAGAGACAGCATGAACGGGGGAGGGGCAGAGAGAGAGGGAGACACAGAATCGGAAACAGGCTCCAGGCTCCGAGCCATCCGCCCAGAGCCTGACGCGGGGCTCGAACTCACGGACTGCGAGATCGTGACCTGGCTGAAGTCGGACGCTTAACCGACTGCGCCACCCAGGCGCCCCTCTTTTTTGCTATTTAAAGAAATCTTGTAAAAGTAAAACCTTTTGTAAAGAACATTATTTCTTAAATGGTCTTGTTTTAATAATATAAACATTTTTTGGATCTCTTCTTGATCCACATTTGATTTTATAAATGAAGAGTTTAACGTCTTTCTCACCTATTTCAGTGATCATACATTTTAAAAAGGCTGAAGAACCAAAAAAGTCTTTCCAGTCCATGTGCCCCTGCAGCTGTTTATAATTGTACTTGCTCAAGAGTTGTTTTCAAGCTGAGCATATGCTCTCCTTTTTTTTAAATTATGCAGATAATTCATATCAGTATAAAAGGAAAATATAGGTATGAAAAAAATAATTAAAATTTCCCATAATCTCAGCCACTAGAAATAGCTACTGTTATAAGGAGATAGATCTCTTCATCCAGTCTTTCATTGTGTACGTGTGTATGTGTATTTAAACTGGGTCACGATGTATATTATTTAATCTGCTTTTCTCACCATCACAGCATTAGCATAGTATTAGGATTAGAATTTGATATGTGCCAAATTTTCTGTTGTTAGGATTCTGAAAATTTCAAAGGTGACTCTTGGGATTTGCATTTGACTCCCAAATGAATATTAACGAGTATATCACGGGCACACTATAGCTGGAAATGGTTTTTGTTTCCGTTCATCGTTTAAGGATACTGTACTTGGAGAAAATATTTTCTTTTATGAAAAAAGTACTTCACATTATTGCTTAAGGAAATGAGTGAGTCTGTTCAGTCATGCCTGATAAAATTGACCATTTTTGATTCTTTTATTTGCATGTTTGATGCCGCGAAGTCTTGCAACTTCAAGACCTTCTCTAGAATGCACTTACTCTCACAAGCCTTCTCTGAAAGGCCATATTTCGAGCATCTTTTTAAGTGCCACAGTCAGCCCTTCAGCATTATCTTTGAGTCCTTTGGCAGATTACTTACAGAATGTTTGGATAAGTTAGTTGAGAAGGACAGTAATTGAGCAAACATCACTTTGCTTTAAGTTTTAGTTTCAAAGCCCCTGCTTGTTCGCTCTTATGTTCTGGTACTCTTATCAGTGGAGAAGCTTTACTTTGTGAAATCCCAAGGAAAGTAGGCAGAAACTTGCCTTTGATAGCTTCTGCAAAGCAATTATTTTTCCTCAGCCACAGACGCTTCTTAGTTCTTATGTATGGCAGTACTACTGAGACACTGGTTGAGTGAATGGATATATTTACTTTATTTTTGAATGACTTTACCTCGAAAATGACACTGCTCTTTTCTCCAAAACAAATGAAGGTTGAGTCTGCATGGAACATTAGAAAACTGAGTCCCACACTGTGCTGGTTTGAGGTATGATTTTCATTTGCAGTTCTTGCCATTTTGTTTGTTTGGAAAGTTCTTTTTTCTGTCGCCATTAGTTTGTTGTGGGTAATTCAAGCAATTCCTTAACTTTTTTAAAGTGGAAACTTGATTATACAAGTTTTTCCCCCCCATCTTTTTAAATAAAATTCTGATTGTGTTTGTAACTCTTCTAATGAAGCTAGATAGGGTATTGTAGCATTTGGGAGAAGGAGAACAGCGTTTGTAAGTTGGTGAGTATTGGGGCTCAGAGCTCAAAGTTGGGAAACAAACCTAGGTGATAATTCTACTAGGGGCCATTTCCTGACCATCAAAAGCTGTGCTAATAAGCCTTTTATATGTATTACCTCTCCTGTTCATTCCAGTCTGTGAGATAAGTATTACTGCTATGTTACAGACGATGAAGCTTAGATCATAGAGTTTAAATAACTTGTCCAAGGTCCTACAAGTAGTATGGTCAGATCTGATAACTCTTCTAGTATAGTAATCATTGTTTTTATAAATACTTCCCAGTAAATCGTTTTGTAGATCTTATCAAAAATATCAGAGGATGCCATTTTAAAATTTACTGGCTCTGAACAAATTGTTGAATGTAAAAACAGCAGTTAAAAGTAGAAGGGCACCTGATGGCCTGATGGCTCAGTCCGTTGAGTGTCCGACTCTTGATTTCGGTTGAGGTCATGATCTCAAAATTCGTGAGATCGAGCCCCACGTCGGGCTCTGCGCTGTCAGCGTGCTCCTCCTCACTCACACACACGCTTTCTTTCTCAAAATAAAGAAACATTTAAAAAAGTTTTTAGGGGTGCCTGTCTGGCTCAGTTGGTAGAGCATGTGACTCTTGAACTTGGAGTCATGAATTTGAGCCTCCCACTGGGTGTACATACTACTTAAAAAAAAAAAAGAAAGAACAAAAGCTAGCATGTAAAATAATAAAAGCTAGCATGTAAAAAAAAAAAAAAATGTCATTTTACACAACTAACAGTTGCATCATCAATTAAGTCAATTAGTTTTTTGCTTTTCCAGTTTAGGCCTCCCGAGTGGCTCAGTCAGTTGAACATTGGCTCAGGTCTTGATCTCGCCGTTTGTGGGTTCTAGCCCCAAGTTGGGCTTTGTCCTGACAGTGTGGAGCCCACTTGAGATTCTCTGTCTCCCTTTCTTTCTCTCTTGTTTTCTGCTCTCTCTCAAAAATAAACATTAGAAAAAAAATCCCAGATACAGTACATTGTAAGTTATAAAATCAAGGTTGTTTCATGGCATCACTTTTTTTTACAGTTTATTTGTTTTGAGACAGAAAAAGCATGGGTGCATGGGGCGGGGTGGTGGGGACGGGCAGAGAGAAGAGAGGGAACATCCCAAGGAGGATCCATTCTGTCAGCTCAGATCCTGACAACGACACGGGGCTCAATCTCACAAACCAAAAGATCATGAGCTGAGCCAAACACTCAACTGACTGAGCCACCCAGGCGCCCTTCATGGCATCACTTTGTTTAAATAATAGATAAGATGGGAACAGGAACTGAAACATTCAGCTTTGTTAGAGAGTTTTGCTACTCCAGAGAATGTTCCATGAACTAATGGCTTGACCAGCATCTCAGCTGGGAGCTTGTTAGAGAATCTCAGTCCAGACCCACTGAAGCAGAACCTGTAGCAAGATCTCCAGGGATTCGTATCCATGTTAAAGATGGAGGAGCACTGCTCCCTAGACTTCATTTGAGTTCTACTTATTGCCGTGATCAGCATATAAGGGAGAAACTGGATTTGGTAATAATGGCATCTATTACTGATGTTGAAAACAAAGTAGTCAGTAACTGAAGAGTTTCATAGTTCTTTTATTAAAATCTACATGAATAAATTCACCTATATGTGATTTCATTTTGAAATTTTTATTGATTTTGAGATAACTTAGAATTGCCAGAGCTATTGAGAGCTATGTGAAATTTTTATTAGTTTTTGGTAGAATTTTTAAAAAGTTTATAGTTCTTTTTAGGTATAAACTGTTCTTTGTGAGATACTCAATATTCTTAATCAGATCTCTCATTTGTTAAGGATTAATATACATGGAAATTTTTCTGCTCCCTTAGTTTTACTTTTATATTTTAAGTTTTATATATGGGTTACGTTTTTCATACAGTTTTAATCAAAATCCAATTAAAAAACAATTTTGTGCAAAATTGCCTTCGTCTAGTGTTTTCAGTAAGTTTTGAATTGCTGATGGTTTCAGTTTGATACTGTTCAAGATAAAGTACTTTTTTCAAGAAAGCACTTTTCTCTTTGATAAGTGAAAGCAAATTACTGAAATAAATACCATGTTTTTCTCATGCCCTAAACACTAAAAAAGAAGAAAAAGAAAAAGTAGAAGAAGAGGGAGACCGTGAACACACTTCACTAAAGAGTTCTCCATCTTTCATCTACACCATCTTGAGTGGTCCTAAAGGACAAAAACATGAAACATATATCATTTAACAGTGTCTTTTATGTGCATCTGTATTTTGTTAGTACCATGTGTTTTAGATTCATATTTGTAATTCTTAAAGGACTTTTTGAAACTTTCCTGCTGCATATGTGATTTTTAAGGAGCATTTGTGATATCTTGATGAAGTATGAGAAATTACAAGGACTGCAATTAAATATTTTATTGTAAGGTGTACAAAAAGAATCTCATTTCACGGTTTTATATTTCTCTCTTGCATGGCTTTGTGATGATCCGAACTTATAGTTTTTAATTGAGAGTAGTTTCATATTTCGTTGTGTCCTTTTATTTATGTAATATGGAAATGATTACTTACTTAAACTATACTTCACAGACTTGGACTAATGTTCATGAAATCCTGGTGTCTTTTGGAAGAAGAGTTTTATGCTACCCACTTTATCGCCACTTCAAGCTGGTGATGAAAGCTTACAGAGACACTATAAAGATCTTGCAACTAGGTAAGATACTCCTGTGCTTGCAGATTTGAGAGGGAAAAAGTTATGTTTTTAGTCTGTGAGGATGTAGTCATGATTTTTTGCTTCTCTATGCATAAATCAGTAATGAAGATCATCAAATCCAATCACTTCTCCCTGCCAAGTATAAAAAGCAATGGTTCGTCTCTGTAGATACACTCTTTTCTGAGAGCTGCTGGGAGGGGCAGTGGAGAAGGTACACAGGATTCCAGACCAGTTCGTATTAAAGTAGAGTGCATCATTTAGTATTTCTTGGAAGCCTGCAGTTTTCTAGGCACTATGCTAGGATTGTGGGTATAATAATAATAAGATCTGTTCCCTGTTTCTGTGCAGTTTACAGTTTTGCCAGGGCGACAGATGACAAGTAAACAATTCCATTATAGAGTGAGAAGTGCTCTGCTGGGGCATGTAGTGATCACAGGGACGGGGCACAGAACCTGGACTTGGGAGGTCAAGAAAGACTTTCCAAACAACAGCACAGCTACTCTGAGGACCTTTGACTATTGCAAATCTAACCTGAAGAGACAAACATTTCCTGGTTTTAAGGATGTGGAAAATTTTGAGCTCTGAAACAAATTCCGAAGTGACTATAACAGTATCGTTGGATTAAGTATATAATTTCCAAAGTAATGAATTTGAAGGTGGCAGCATCCGTTTGTATGGATTAGTTCTGGCACATTTATTTAAAAGTCACTTTCCATCCTTTATGGTCATTTCTTCTATTCTTCCCTGGGGAGTCTCGTTGTTCCTTGGTCCTTAGGTAAAATACTTCTAGGTGTAGGTTTTCAGACTTGAGGGTAAGAAGGAGAAAGTAAGGAAGCTCTTCCCTTTACACCCACTTGACGTCATTGGCTTGAAAGGAAGAATCCCATCTCCAACGTTTGTCGCTCCTAGAGGTATTCCTAGGTTTTTCTTTGACTTCTGTGTGACATATCACCTTCTATCCTGGAAGCAGAAAATCAGTTTTGAAGTAGATTTTTTTAAGGTAGACAATAATTATCAAAATGAATTATGGTTAAATGAAAGATACTTTTTATTAATCCAGTTGGTTTAGGCCATCTGTATTTTATTTCAAAGGATTGTTGCTTGTAAAATTGCAGAGCTACTACCTTTGAAAAAAATCAGTCTTTCTTAACTCATAGGTAGAAAAGAAACTGCTTTGTTTTTTATGTTATTTCTTCTTGCCCCCCTTTTTTTTTTTAGATGTTTATTGATTTCTTTTTGAGAGACAGAGACAGGGTGAGAGCGGGGAGGGGTAGAAAGAGAGGGAGACACAGAATCCAAAGCAGGCTCCAGGCTCTGAGCTGTCAGTACAGAGCCCGACGTGGGGCTCAGACTCACAAACGGTGAGAACACGACTTGAGCCAAAGTCAGATGCTTAACCAGCTGAGCCACCCAGGCACCCCTCTTCTTGACTTTTAAGAGGTTTCTTGAATTGTAAAAAATTACCTTGAAAGATCAACCTACTATAAGTGACTTGAACTTGAGTTACATGTCACAATTAATTACTTGTTTGTATTAGATGATCTGTGCGTTATTCATAGATTTAAACAATGAGAGTAAATTTGCGATTATCCTGTTACATCATGGTTTCCAGATGGAAAACTGGCAAAAAACCCATGCGTGTGTGTGGGCGTGCACTCAGGCACATAGTTGCTACTCTTTATTCTGGGGAGTAATCTAGTTCTCTGAATTTTTATTTGAAAAGTAATCAGTTCTGTGATTACCTAACCAGAAATAAATTCGATTGTGTCGACTTACGTGGTAATCGATTACTCTAATAGTTTTAGTAGGTGAGAAGTGAAATTTAGACTTAGCTTTACATCTTTATCCATCTGACAAGAAATAGTCTTATCAGCTGTGTCTTGATAGCAACAGAAACCTTAGGTAACACACTTGAGGTCTGTCTGCTGAAAATGAGTGGGAAGCCTCTATAAACTGTACACAACATGTTCTGTGGCTGATTTGGGTTGTGGTTAGTTAGTTAGTTAGTTCTGAGACAGAGCTGGGTTGTCCAGAATTCCCACCATAAGCTATGGGGAACACAAGCTCCGAATGAGGGTTGTAACCTGTGTTTATCCAGGTGGATGGCACAGGGACGCCATTATTGCCATTGAAGAGTCTTGTGTGTTTGGATACCCCATGATTTCAATGGGGATAGCTCTTCTGTGGCATTGAATGTTTTCCAAAAATGAATTTGTGTCTACTTATAATTCAAAATGCAATCACACTTTTTATTAGAAAGGTCTGTTGAGTGCCTGCATAGTTTGAAAGTAATGAATAACTCTCCAAATAACTCTCCCCCAAAGAAATATTGATCTTAACTGGAATGAGCTTTCAAAACCAATGTAGCAAGGCTTCAGAATCTACAGAAAATTTCATTATAATGGAATGACTACAATCTGAATTTTTATTTTGTTTGTGTAAGATCTGAATCATGAATTTGCCTTGAGTGACTTCATAGTAGCCTTCCAAGGGATTCTTTACTGGGCCTTTGGCTATTTTCAAGTTTGTGTTCCTTCTCTCACCCCTTCCCCACCTCTGAAAGACTGTGTACGCTGATCTCTTGCTGTTGCTGTATGTCTAATCCAAATTCCTTTAAGGGCAGAAAACCTATGTTGTCCTTTTAAGTATTGTTTTAGCGTTTAACGCAGGACCTTGCGCACGGAGTTTCTTTCCCTGGATCAGTACCCTTTGGGCCACATGATCATCCCCCCTTTTTGTTTCTGTCCTGTTTTAAGCAACTTTTACTTCCTCCTCCCAGTTTCATTCTTTAGGATTAAGTAGGTCGAATCCTTGATGGAAGCATTGCTTGGCTGCTGTTACTCACCAGAATTAAATGAAAAAAGAGATGAAAAGAGAACAGCTTTTCTAATATGCCTTGAAATTTTATTCTGTTTAGAAGTGGTATGGTTTAAGTTGATTATATACTTGTCACTATTTATTAGTTGTGCTAATATCTACATTTCATTAATCTCTTTGATGGCGCTCATCATCTTCTCTGCTCTTGCTGGGCTTTTGAACATATAATGTAACTATTATATGGAAGATGCTGAACATCATGGGAAACAGCTTAGTTTTTTCTCTCAGTTCCCCCTTTGAACTCATTCTGTCTGTTCTTTTATTGTTTCTGGATGGAATATATAACCTATAAATATCATATCACATACACACCTATCTTATATAATAGGTATTCTTTAAATTTTTATGTCACTTTAAATTACAAGAATCTCTTTTAAGTACCTAAAACGTCCTCTTTGAACTTGATTAAAAAAGTAAATCTTCCCTTCCCCATCCCCAGCCTGCCTCAGGTTGGGAAGCCAGTACTGGGGGTGAAAGGGGTGGGGGTCCTCTTTGCTGTTCCAGAGCAAGCTTCCACACAGCCACCACAGGCTGCTCCTTCCTGCTTCTCACTGGTGGGCTTTTATCAGGTATGAGTCAGTCACCAGTCTTTGTACCCCACAATTTCTAGGGGTGATAGGTTACACTCTCTAGGGGACTCTCTTAAAATTCCCTTTCTCTTGGTTTATGGTGACCAGAAGGTAGTTCCTCCCCTCCCCCATGGAGAGTGGTTGAAACCCCATAACACTGTAGTTTTATCCAAAGAGATTTTCTGGACTTGTTTTCCTTAAACTCCTGGAGGTCACTGTTGGGCTGAGGGGGGTCATAAATCACCAGTTTTTTGTTCGTCCCTCTGTAACTTTAGCATAGAGAGGTTAGTATCTCTTTTTAAAATATGGGAATACTTGCTATTTGTTTTGTCCTTTGTGGGGCTCATTGGAAATGAGTCAGAAAGAGTCCTGCCTTTCTATGCTCGTATAGGAATAAAAAACCGCAGCTGCCATATTAACTATTTTCTGTGGGCCAGTGCTAGGCTTCATTCCTCAGGTACCTTATCTCATTTCGTCCATTTTGCAGATAGAAGACAAGCTCAGAGAAGCTCAGTGACTTGCCCAGGGTCACACAACTATTAGTTGGTAGAGCCTAGACTTGACACCGGGTCTATCTGCCTCAAAGTCTATGGCTTTTGATGTGTTGAAATAGTTATAAATGAAATGGTATGAAGCCTGGGATTTGCTTCAGAATAATCCACAAGGGGTTGGGGGAAAGTGGGCCAGGTGCAGGTGAAACAAGGTTGGCCCTCAGTTGCTAGCTGCTTAAAGTTGAGTGATGTAGTTCACTATCCTGTAGTCTCCATTTGCATGTGATTTTCCTTTATAAAAGATTTTTGTTTTTGTTTTTTAAGTGTGGGTTCTTAACCACTGTGCTTAAATTTATTCACCATTTTATGGAAAACATTGTAATTCTTGATCAGACAGTTGTATACATATTTTTTTTGGCTAATGAAAACATATGTGTGAAATAATCTTTTTTGGTTCTGTGGGTTTTTTTGTTTTTTAAAGACTTTATTTAAAAAAATTTTTTTTTTTTTGTTTTTTGAAAGAGTGCACATATGCAAGCAGGGGAGGGACAGAGAGAGAGGGAGAGAGTACCTTAAGCCGGCTCCATGCTCAGGGTGGAGCCCAACACGGGGCTCTCTAAGGACAGTGAGATCATGACCTGAGCCCAAATCAAGAGTTGGATGCTCGGGGCACCTGGGTGGCGCAGTCGGTTAAGCGTCCGACTTCAGCCAGGTCACCATCTCGCGGTCCGTGAGTTCAAGCCCCGCGTCAGGCTCTGGGCTGATGGTTCAGAGCCTGGAGCCTGTTTCTGATTCTGTGTCTCCCTCTCTCTCTGCCCCTCCCCTGTTCATGCTCTGTCTCTCTCTGTCCCAAAAATACATAAACGTTGGGAAAAAAAAAAAAAAAGAGTTGGATGCTTAACTGACTGAGCCACCCAGATGCCCCAAAAGATTTTATTTTTAAGTAATATTTCCACCCAGCGTGGGGTTTGAACTCACAGCCCTGAGATCAACAGTCGCATGCTCTACCAACTGAGTCAGCCAGGTGCCCTGGTTCTGTTTTGTTTTTAAGACTATCAGAAAC